ACTTCTAGGATGCTGCCTGGCACACAGGGAGCTTTTAAAATGTGGTTGTCTGGCTGGGCGCGGTGGCTCATGCTTGTAATCCCAGCACTTTGGGAGACTGAGGCGGATGGATCACCTGAGGTCAAGAGTTTGAGACTGGCCCGGCCAACATGGTGCAACCCCGTCTCTACTAAAAATACAAAAATTAGCCGGGCATGGTGGCATGCGCCTGTAATCCCAGCTACTCGGGAGGCTAAGGCAGAATTGCTTGAACCCGGGAGACAGAGGTTGCAGTGAGCCGAGATCACACCACTGTACTCCACCCTGGGCAACAGAACGATACTCTGTCTCAAAATAATAAGTAAGCAAAATGTGGTTGTCATTATTATAATACAGTCACAACATATGGACAATAAGCTATGTGAATTAAGCTACATGTGCTTGGCAACTAAAAGAGAAATGGTCCCATAGATGATTCTGCTGGTCCTCCTGCTCACTGAATGTGTGCCCCAGAGACAGGATAAGGTAGGAGGTGCTGGACTGCTAGATAGGCACTCTCTGTCCTGTGAGCCTTTATTTATTTATTATTATTATTATTACTACTATTATTATTATTTTGAAACGGAGTCTTGCTCTGTTGCCCAGACTAGAATGCAGTGGCACAATCTTGGCTCACTGCATCATCTGCCTCCCAGGTTCAAGCAATTCTCCTGACTCAGCCTCCCAAGTAGCTGGGACTCCAGGCGCACACTGCTACGCCCGTCTAATTTTTTGTATTTTAGTAGAGATGGGGTTTTACTGTGTTGCCCAGGCTGGTCTCAAACTCTTGAGCTCAAGAGTTCCACCCACCTCAGCCTCCCAAAGTGCTAGGATTACAGGCATGAACCATGGCGTCCAGCCTTCTGTGAGCCTTTTTCAATGTGAGGGGAGGCTGTAGCTATAAATGGACTTAATTTTTGCTTTACTCACTGTAATAGCAGGTGGAAAATATAGGGTGAGACTCACTCATAATTTGGCAACTCAGTTTGTGTGTATGAATACTTGGGGCACAGATGAAGAAGGAATGAACCAAGATAGGGTAACGGGGGTTCCAGGCCTTGGTGGTTCTGTCTGCTAAAGGATGATGGGCAGGCTCCATGATATTGACCTCTTGACCTTGGTCAGCAGGTGGGAGGGACTTGTAGGGGACTGGTGGGGCTGATCCTTCCACCAACCTTCAGCCCCCAAAGACCACATGTGCTCACTGACCACACTGGAACCTTATACCCTTGTCCGTGCCCAACGTTTGAATACCGCTGTATCTTTGCTTATATTGAGCCTACCCAAGTGACACCTTCCCAATCCCACTCACCTGCCCCCTTTCCTCTCTGAGTGTCTAAACCTAAGAAATCTGGAGCACAAACAGCAACAGATAATCTTGGTGACCGGCCATTCTAGTTTGCCCAGGACTGAGGAATTTCCCAGAATGTGGAACTTTCGGTGCTGAAAGCAAGATGGTTGCTCACCCTATTAGGCAGACAAGTGAGACATCCTTCACAGCCCACTTGAGATGGCTTCTGTTTTAAGAAGTCTTGCCTGATCTCCTTAGCTGGAAGCAATCATTCTTTCTATCGAACTTCTCCCAGAACATTATGTGTGCCTGTCCATGCCTGAACTCCACACCCCAGTCTCACCCCAAACTTTGAGTGAATGAGGCTGTAACTGAGGACATCTTGTTATTGTGTGTCCCGTATGCATCAGGCGAGGGTCAGAGTGGGAGGTGGCAGCAGGCTGGGTGACCTCTCTGGGGTTCTGCTATTCAGCCCCTTTCCATAGCTGTAGAGTGTGAATTTCTGCAAAACTGGCTCAGCTATCACTCTTTGAAATATTTAATTACATGTAAAGATCTTGAAGGCTGTCTGTTACTTCCCAGGGAAGCATTTCTTTTTCCTGCTCCTTCTGAAGCTGGCTGCTTGGAAAGTAATGAAATTGAACTGAAGCCGAAGCAACCAGCAGGCATAGCCATTACTGAAAGGAAGAAGCATGAGGAAGAGATGAAAAGGGTGACAGGGAGATGGAGCCAAGGGAGGGGCAGGGAGTTACAGGAAATATTCCCAGAGAGTGAGTGAAACGCAAAAGGTGAGAAAACCAATGCGTGTGGAGAAGAGGGAGAAGGGGGCAGGAAAGATAGACAAATGGGAGCCGGACTGGGCTGGGTCCAGCAGGCCCCAAGAAGAGACGTAGGGTCACAGAGAAGAGGGGTGGCAGATGGGAAAAGAAAGGGCCGGGCAGAAAGGAACAGAGACAGGCAGCCAACCAAGAGCTTAGCAAAGACAGAGGGATGTAAACAGCTTGTGGCTCCAGAATTTCGATCAGGAGTGGGCGATTTAGGGCAGCCATTTGGTTGGAAGAGAATGGCCGGACCAGGAGATGGGTTCTGAAGCTGCCTTGAAGAAACAAACGCTCTGCCCTTCTTAGCCTGTGTAACTATTTGCGTGGCTTGGTGGAAGAACTGATGGAGGTTATGAGGCGCCAAAGCTTCCACCCAGGCACCCCTTGCTGCAGCCTGTACAGGGAGGAGCACTGCAAAGATGGGAAGGCCGCATGGGCATCGGTTCCTGGCCCCTGCCCCAAGGAGAGCTGACTGCCCCGTCTCTTGCAGGCTGCGACAGCGACCACTGGGGGCCCCACTGCAGCAACCGGTGCCAGTGCCAGAACGGCGCCCTGTGTAACCCCATTACAGGCGCCTGCGTGTGCGCCGCCGGCTTCCGTGGATGGCGCTGCGAGGAGCTCTGCGCGCCTGGCACCCACGGCAAGGGATGCCAGCTGCCGTGCCAGTGCCGACACGGTGCCAGCTGCGACCCCCGCACCGGCGAGTGCCTCTGCGCACCTGGCTATACCGGCGTCTAGTGAGTCATGCGGCAGGGCCCGGACCGGGAGGGACCTGGAGGGGCGGGACTTGGAGGGTGCGTGGGTGGGGAGAGTGGAGGGGTGTGGAGGGGCTGGGGCGGGGCCTGGAGTGGCCGCCTTACCGCAGCTGCACACCCAGCCCTGGGCTCCTTGTGGGTGGGCTGGCTGGTGGGACCAGGAGGGTTGGGATAGTCTTGGCTGTGAAATCTCCTGTTAGTCTAAATGCCCAGGCCTCACCCACGCAGGTCTCAGATTCCTGCCTTCCAGGACCCCGTTGACTGGTCCTTCCTGAGACTGCCCGAGTGGGCGCTCCCTAAAACCCTCCCAGGAGGCCCTTCCTAGCAGAGACAGCCCTTATCTTGGAAGTCTCTTCTGACCTTACCCCATATGATGCTGCTCACCTGGGGCCTTCCCTTCTAGGGCATTTGGGAGAGGTGTGACACACATAGAGAGAGGTGAGGGTCCTGGGCAGATACCATGTACAGATTTGGGAGGATTACTCCGCTGTTCCTCTCCCCTACTTTCTCTCCCGAGACACCGAACAGCCACTCACTCCAGTTCCCCGGAGAATAGTATTGACAGGAGACCTACAAGACTGCTTAGCCGAGACCCCCTCAGAGGCAAGATTGAAGTTCTCCTCCCAACCCTGTAGCAGGCTCAGTGGCCTCTCCAACAGACTAGATCCTGAAGGGTGGCCAAGGACTCTAACCACAGAGACGTTGTTGATTGAGGGTGTTCCCTACCCCGATGTCTGGTCAGCTCCCAAGTCCTAGTGAGCTAGAGGCCAGGGCCATTGGATGAAGGCCCAAGACCAAGACCCCATGCAAATCCTGCCCCACACTTCAACAGCGCCCAGTCCCTGCACATGAGCCTGTCATGGGAGCTGGGAGCCTTCCCGAGCCTGGAAGAAACGAGCTCCAGATTCTTCCCCTCTCTGAGTCTAGGCGGATTCTTGAAGACGGGATCCATGGGCACTTTTCAGTGCCTTCATTCATGGGATTACTTTGGCCTGGCATGCCCTTCCTTCCATTCTCCTGGTGAAATTGACTTCACCTTTAAGGCCCAAGTAAAATGTCTTCCTCCTCGGGAAGCCTTCCTCAGCCTCCTCCCCAGAACAGTCTTCTTTTACACTAAGAACACTTAAGTCCATCCCAAAAGTACTGGCCCAAGCACCCTACACTCCAATGTATTCAGTCTGAGCCCTGCTTCCCCCTCCTGGCCGGGAGCAGGACTGCAGCTCAGCTGATGCAGATCCATTGACTGTGAAGGAATTCCTAGTGAACCCTGGAGCACTGGGGCCCTGCCACCTGATCTGAATGCTGCTGTGTCTAACACCTCTGCTTCTCCATGCAGCTGCGAGGAGCTGTGCCCTCCTGGGAGCCATGGAGCTCACTGTGAGCTGCGCTGCCCCTGCCAGAATGGGGGCATCTGCCACCACATCACTGGCGAGTGTGCCTGCCCCCCAGGCTGGACGGTAGGTGGGCCCAAAGGATCTGGGTGGGGCACTGTAAGAGGACTGAGCATTCCTCACTCACACACATCTTAAAAGGCTAAATTGGCCGGGTGTGGTGCTCACGCCTGTAATCCCAGCACTTTGGGAGGCCAAGGCCTGCAGATCACTTGAGGTCAGGAGTTCGAGACCAGCCTGGCCAACATGGCAAAACCCAGTCTCTACTAAAAATACAAAAATTTGCGAGGCATTGTGTCATACATCTGTAATCCCAGCTACTTGGGAGGCTGAGGCACAAGAATAACTTGAACCCAGGAGGCAGAGGTTGCAGCCAAGATTAAGTTACTGTACTCCAGCATGGGTGACAGTGTGAGACTCTGTCTCAAAAAAAAAAAAAAAAGTTATTCTCCCACTGTGAATACCCTCCCTCCTATTTAGTGATCCCTAGGGCATCACTAAATGCTGCCAGTGGTGCCGTGGACACAGCTTTGAATCCCAGGTCTGCCATCTCTAAGTGCTGTGTGGCCTCAAGCAAGTTACTCACCTCTTTGAGCCTGTGGTCTCTCCTGTCCAAAGAAATTGAATTCTTCTTGTAAGATTAGCTCTGTCTTTGGGTATAAGCACCCACATGAGCAGCCATGGGCCCTGGGCCAGAGGTGGCAGAAAAGGCTGGGAAAAGAGGAGAAACAGCAGGTATGGATGACCTGAATTTATCTAACTTCGCCCCCTGCACTTGCACACACACACATTCTGATTCTGTGGGCCCCAGAATCTGTATTTTAACAGGTACTGCAGGTGATCCTGATGTAGCCTCAAGCAGCCCAGGTCTCATGTCTGGGAAAAACCATTGTGGGAAAGGAGGATAAGATTTGTAACCTCATGGGCCTAAATTCAGGTCTCACAGCCAATGTTGACCCTGAAAAAAGCCTCAATTACTCTGCTTCCCCAAGTACAAAACTGATATAACAACAGTGAGCCCTGGCCTGCCCAGCTGCCATGGTTGGTGGCTGGCTCATGTGAGGCTATGCATGTCTAAAGTCCTTTGCAAACTCTGAAGCCCTCTACGATGGCTTGATTTCTATCCCTGGGTGCCATAAACCCTCCACAAGCCTCCTTTTAGCCAAGACACCCTGCCTGCCAGTGCCTGCCCCACAGACCAAGCCCTTAGAGGCAGTGAGTCAGCTGAAGCTGACCTTCCTGGGCTGCGTCCCTGCCTCTGACTCTCCAGTAACATGCTCTGTTTCAGGGGAAGCTCAGCGACACAGTCCGCCACCTCCCCTGGGGCCTGAGGCTTTGCAAAGCCAGAGAGGACAGGGCTGCTGAGCAGAAGCAGGATATTTTAGGAGGCTGTGAATGCAGAGGTCACAGGGACAGATGGGAGGACACCTACAGGGCCCATCGATGCAGGCACAGTCTTGTCAGAATTTTTTTAGGGCAGGAAAAGGACCTTGGGGACCACTTGGTCCCACAGCATCCAAACCTGACTGCACACCAGAGCTGACAAGCAGGTGGCGGGGAGTTAAAATACAGATTCCCAGGCTGCGTCTGTGACCTCCTGGGACTGGGGGATCTCTATTTTTAATAAGCTCCCCAGATGGTTCTGAGGCAGCCAGTCCTGTCTGCAGGTCTGCATTTGGAAAGAATTGATCCAGACCATAGGACTTCCTTCTGTGTTTCACAAAACCCTACGGTTTCTTGTGGGAGAACCGGGGCAGGAGCCTAATCATTAGGAATCTGGTGCCCACCCCACCCCACCCCCACCTCTCCATTTTAATCTAGTTTCTATAGTGAGGTGCTCTAGGTAAGATTTCACATATAAACAGGGTTTCCCAGCTTTAAGAGATTTGGATCCCACTGGTCTGTCAATACCTTCCTTTCTCAGATGAAGAAGCTGAGGCTCAGAGGGGGTAAGGGACCTGTTCAAGACCACACTGGTGGTTAGGAGTGAGGTGGAGCTAGAATCCAGGTCTCCTGACTCCCAGCCCTTAGTGTCTGTCTGTCCATCTGTCTGTCTCCTCTGAGGAAGAAAAAGGGACTGCTACCACCTCTCCCATACCTGCCCATTTCTTCCACCCTGAACCGGTCTCTGGAAAGACCCTCTCATCTCCAACCAGCTTTCAGAAATCCACCCAGCATGCGGGGTCCTCAGAGGCCCAGCTGCATCAGAGAAGTTGGATCAGGAAGAGGGGGGCAGAACAAGCGCACAGCATCCCTTTGCCTGTAAAGGCCTCTCTGGAGGCACTGCTGAGGCTCAGGTGGTTGAAGAGGGGAAGGTGAGAAGCAAACACACAGGGGGATTGTATTTCTCCCCAGCACAGTGAGAGGTTTGTTCTTCCAGATGACAGGAAACTCTGTTGACAGAAGCCTTTGGATTGAGGACTTTATGTTTTTAATTTTACTGTAGACAATTGCATTTCTATTTTTGACATAGCATTTAACTTGCAGATTTGTATGAATTATTAATACCCCTTGTGCATGCAGAGTCACCATATAATGAAGTTGCACTCACGCCTGAGGCTCCTCCCAGGGACAGCAGGGACCAAGGAACGGATACTGGGGAGAAGGCTCCCCACTTTAGCATCTTCCATTGCCTGACTTCCCAATGGCCCTATGTGACTTCAACCACACATTTTCCAACTCAGGGATATACAGATTGCTGATTCACACCATGCACCTCCCCAAAGACCCGGGCCATTGTGTGGAACTGGAGAGAGGAGCTGCCAGGCCAGGAACTCTGGCTCTCCAGGCCCCTCCTTAGAGATTCCTGGCCACCAGGCCCTAAGCATGCCCACAGGATAGTCTGCTAGCCCAGCATGAAGCCTGTTTCAGGCAGGGTCTTTGCAAAGAGCCTGGGGAATTGTTTCCCCTCTTTTTCCGGGCTCTGAGACCTTTCAAAGCAGAGAAATCGGTCTGAGTAGTTTGATGTGAGTGGGAACTAGAGACAGAGAGGGAGAAGGAAATAGGATTGACATCCCCCACCCTTCTTATGTTGGGGACTGGATACAGTGTGTGTGTGCCTACATGCATGCATACACACACACACACACACACAGAAAAGAGACTGGAGGAGAGGAGGCTGAGGAGCTGGGAAACAGGACCAGTTATCCTGGAGGGCCAAAGAGAGGTTTTGCGTGGTGAAATCCTGTCTCTACTAAAAATACAAAAAATCAGCCAGACATGGTGGTGGGCACCTGTAATCCCAGCTATTCAGAGGCTGAGGCAGGAGAATCGCTTGAAACCAGGAGGTAGAGGTTGCAGTGAGCCAAGATTGGCCATTACACTCCAGCCTGGGCAACAGAGCAAGACCCCATCTCAAAAAAAAAAAAAAGAGAGGGGTTTTGGGGCTGAGGCCTAGTATTACAGATGCTTAGGTTTGAGAAAAAAGATTCATGGAGCCCCACTTCGTAGCCTGTGGCCTGGATCACCTTCACAGCACTCACACCAACCACAGCTCACTGTCCATTGAGGGTATCCATGCCACCCTGGAGCATCACTGATCATCAGAAATGCCTTCAGATGCTTGGTGAGGCTGAGTTGCCTCCCCTCCAGGAGAGCTGGCATGGCCTTAAGTCCTTTCACCATCTTGGCCCCTTCTCTTCTTATGTTCTACTTAGCCAAGATCCCTTTTTTTTTTTTTTTTTTTTTGAGACAGAGTCTCGATCTGTCACCCAGGCTGGAGTGCAGTGGCGCAATCTTGGCTCACTGCAAGCTCTGCCTCCCGGGTTCACGCCATT